CTCTCCGGGGCTCTGCCAATCGCACCTGCCAGGCAACTGGTCGGTGGGATGGACAAACGGCCATCTGTGATGATGGAGGTGAGAAGCATCCCTCCCCCGGCGATGGTATCCCCTCCCTGACCATGTTCTAGCCTGAGGAACTGGCACCACAACTCCTGTGCTCTACTGTGCCATCCAGGCCTCAGGTTCCGGCCCTCACCTCCATATCTCATGCTTCTGCAGCGGGGTACTGCCCCAACCCGGGCATCCCCATTGGCACAAGGAAGGTGGGCAGCCAGTACCGCCTTGAAGACAGTGTCACCTACTACTGCAACCGGGGACTCACCCTGCGTGGCTCCCAGCAGCGAACATGCCAGGAAGGGGGCTCTTGGAGCGGAACAGAGCCTTCTTGCCAAGGTGACCCTTGACCCATGCCCTCAGGTTCAGATCCTGCCCTTTCATCCTCATGTCCCTATACCAGAGCACTGTTTCCTCCCCCTAACGCAACTCAGCTCCTTCCTCACTTCTAACCCTGCCCGTAGAACTTCCTCACTACTGAGCCCTTCCCGCGCCGGAAGCCCATCATCCCGTCTCCAGTCAATGAGTCTTTGACCCTCCCTCTTCCACCCCCCCAACATTTGACCTGATTTCTGACCTCTCCCAGACTCCTTTATGTATGACACCCCTGAAGAGGTAGCCGAAGCCTTCCTGTCTTCCCTGACAGAGACCATAGAAGGAGTCGATGCTGAGGATGGACATAGCCCAGGTTTGGAGGCAGAGAAGGGAGGGAGGCAGGGAATTGGGGGAGGATGAAGAGGCAGGAGAACCATGCATGCTGGAGCCTGAGTTTCTCTGGTGGCACCCAGGGGAACAACAGAAGAGGAAGATTGTCTTGGACCCCTCGGGTTCCATGAACATCTATCTGGTGCTGGATGGATCAGACAGCATTGGGATCGGCAACTTCACAAGGGCCAAGAACTGTCTCAGAGACTTCATTGAAAAGGTGGAGCCCCCTACCCCCTGAATGTGAACTCTGCCCTGCCAGGACTAGTTCCCTGATGTTCCCAGGCCTCTGAGCCACAGGATCCCAGAAAACCTCTCGTCCTATTCTGTCCTCCTTCCCTTTTACTTGAAGCAGTTTCTTGACCTCTAACCCAATCATCCGGGTGAACCTCAGGGTGACCAGTCAGCCCTTGAGTTTCTGACTATAATTTTCCCTGTCCCAGAAAAGCTGCTGACCTCTCCCAACCATAGTATTCTTTCAATGCCATGACCCTTTGCTCCCCTAACCCACAGGTGGCAAGTTATGGGGTGAAGCCAAAATATGGTCTAGTGACATATGCCACAATCCCCAAAGTTTGGGTCAGAGTGAGAGATGATAACAGCAGCGATGCAGACTGGGTCACAAGGACACTCAACCAAATCAGCTATGAAGGTCAGAGGTCAGGGAAGGGACTGGTTGGGGGAGGTTACTCTGGAGTCAGAGAGGTCAAAAGATTCAGGGTTGTTGTGGGGAGGGGGTGGTGAGACCACGTGGGGAGGCAGGGCAGACCATTTTGCAGTCTGTGGTCGAACAGCAGGCTCATCACTGGGGAATCCAGGTCACTGGGGACCTGTTGGGGGCTGAGAAGGTCACTTTGTGGCCAAAGGGAAGTCAGTTTTGACAACTCAAAAAGCTGAAAGATGTGGGATTTCTGTTGTTGATAGGCCTCTAGGGTTCATAGATGACTTAGAAGACCAGGCAAGGTGATCTCTTCCCTTTCCACAGATCACAAATTGAAGGCAGGGACTAACACCAAGCGGGCCCTCCAGGAAGTATACAACATGATGAGCTGGCCAGGGAATGCCCTCCTTGAAGGCTGGAACCGCACCCGCCATGTTATCATCCTCATGACTGATGGTCAGAAGGGACCCTTCTTGTGCCCTGGACTCCCAAACCTTTCGTACCAGTGTGTGGTCCACATGTAAAGCTAGACTCATGGTTGGAGCCCTGAGTGCTGCTCGGGGCCCCAACCATGTTGATCATTTCTGTGACCCTTTCCAAGGAGGAATCCTTCTTAAGCCTCTTTGTGATCTGTCACTTCCATCCCCTCAAGCTGCTTACCCAGCCATGTGTCACTACTTCCAGCCAATTTATCTTCCTTGACCCTCTTCTTTACTTGCCTCTCACCTTCATGGTCCATCTCTTCTACAGGCTTGCACAACATGGGTGGGGACCCAGTCTCTGTTATTCATGAGATCCGGGACTTCCTGTACATTGGGAGGGATCACAAAAACCCACGGGAGGATTATCTGGGTGAGTTTTATTGCCCAGGATCCAGTACCTTACTTTCTCAGCTCCTGTCCCCAGGGCATGGACACTCACTCTCCCTTTTTCTCCCTCAGATATCTATGTGTTTGGGGTTGGACCTCTGGTGAACCAAGAGAACATCAACGCTTTGGCTTCCAAGAAGGATCAAGAACAACATGTATTCAAAGTCAAGGACATGGAAAACCTGGAAGATGTTTTCATCCAAATGCTTGGTAAGAAGATATCAGGCGGTTGTAAAGAGGTCATGAACCTGCCCAGGTACCCCAAGGTCACTCATACTGCCTCTCCTCCTGAAGCCTTGGCAGTCTGGAAGGCCTTTCTTGCTGCTCCTTCTCTGTCACATTCTTGTTTCCTGGCACTATCCGCTTCCTGACCTTAGAATCACAGAGCTCTGACTGACTGACATCACAGAGCTTTCTCAAGTCCCTCGTTTAACACGTGGGGCAAGTGAGGCCGAGAGCAGCCTAGGGACAGCAAGCCAGCTAGAGTTGGGCCTGAAAGCAGCCAGGTCTCCCATCTCTTAGTTCCAAGTTCGCTTCACTCTAGCGCGCGGTTCCTCGCCCACAATGTTAAGGAAAACAAATGCCCTGTGGCTTTCCTCTCCTTCCAGGCCTCATTACCCTGCAGATGCCCCTCCCCCAAAGGCTGCTGCCAGCTGGAAATGAAGTGTCCCACCTTTCAGCACATTTTCCTTTCTTACTAGATGAGACCCGGACGCTGGGGCTCTGTGGAATGGTTTGGGAGCACAAGAAAGGCACTGATTACCACAAGCAACCGTGGCAGGCCAAGATCTCTGTCACTGTAAGCACAGCGTCCTGGTGGCGGGGACTCCCGGTGGGGGGAGTCAGGGTGGAAACGGGGGTAGGGGAAGGGGTAGGTTGTGGGGTTTGGGGAAGTTGAGCTTTCCCCTCTGCCATTCTGTTCCAGCGCCCTTTGAAGGGACACGAGACCTGTATGGGGGCCGTGGTGTCTGAGTACTTCGTGCTGACGGCCGCACACTGTTTCACAGTGGATGATCAGGAACACTCAATCAAGGTCAGCGTGGGTAAGGACGCAACGCATCAATCCCCAGTTTCAGCTGCGCAGGGCCTCACAGCAGCTCCGTCCCTGGCACACTGGGCCACTTGGGGGTGGGGCAGAGGCAGGAGGCTGCCCGCAGAGAAGCGGGATGCCCTGACATACCCATTCTCCTCCTACCTTAGGAGGGAGGAAGCAGGAATTGGAGATACAGGAAATCCTATTTCACCCCAACTACAACATCAATGGGAAAAAAGCAGAAGGCATTCATGAATTTTATGACTATGACGTGGCCCTTATCAGGCTCAAGAAGAGGCTGACGTATGACCAGACTGTCAGGTGAGCCCTCTGGAACCCTGAGGAGAAAAGTTCAGGCAAGGGGGTGCTGCAGGCCTGGGGCAAGTCCAATGTGCTGTCCCTGAGTTTCCCCATCTCTCCTTAACAGGCCCATTTGTCTCCCCTGCACCCAGGGAACAAATCAAGCTTTGAGGCTTCCACTGTCAACCACTTGCCAGCAACAGAGTAAGATATTCAGGGAGAGTAGCACAAGGGAGCGGTACCAAGCGACAAGTGGGGCATGACAGGGTGCTGTGGGAGCAGATGATGGCCAGCCTGATCCCTAGCCCACAGGAAAGCGCTGAGGGACATTTGCTGAGTGACAAAGGCAATGGGGAGATGGGGGGGGGAGGGAGAGTTAAAATGACCCAGTCTGTCCATTTGTCCAGTGCAAGAGCTGCTCCCTGCAAAGGATATCAAAGCTATGTTTGTGTCAGAGTTATCCAAAGATGGGAAGAAGATGCTAGTTCGGAAGGAGGTCTACATCAAGAATGGGGACAAGGTGAGGAATATGGGATTCTAAGCAGGTCTTCTAGGCCCCAATTCTTCCTGAGCATGCTCTATTCATCACCCCTTTCTCCTCCTCACCTATAGAAAGCCAGCTGTGAGAGAGATGCTCGATATGCCACAGGCTATGACAAAGTTAAAGACATCTCTGAAGTGGTCACCCCCAGGTTCCTTTGCACTGGAGGGGTGAATCCTTATGCTGACCCCAATACTTGCAGAGGTAAGAAAAGGCTCTTTGATCATGCTGCATGTTCCTGAAGCCCAAGAATCGCTCTCCCTACAGCTTTTCCTCCCCTGTAGGTGATTCTGGTGGTCCCCTGATTATTCACAAGAGGAGTCGTTTCATTCAAGTGAGTTTCCCCTCTCCTATCTGTGCGGAGATGCCAAGTGGTCAGCATGGGCCATAAAGCAGGAAAGCTCCATGGGTGTGGCTGGAAAGAGGAGGGCAGAGCCTGCCTCCTTACAACTGTTCCTTGAAATGGTCGGTTAAGGCCGGGCGTCCGGCCTGTGTGCTAGAGAGACCAGGACTGAGCCGGGTCCCCAGTCTAATTCGTCTAGGTCAACTCAGATGCAACTAGGAATAGCTGAGTTTCGGGGGATCAGGAAGGAATTCTACCAAGTGATCCGTGGCACCCCCTTGCCCTGTCCAGGTCGGCGTGATCAGCTGGGGTGTCATGGATGTCTGCAAAGACCAGAGGCGGTGGCAGCAGGTGCCTGTGCATGCCCGAGACTTTCACATCAACCTCTTCCAAGTGCTGCCCTGGCTCAAGAACAAACTCAAAGATGAGGGTTTGGATTTTCTGTAAGGGGTTTCCTGCTGGAAAGGGGTATGAGATCAAATTAAAACAGCTGCGACAATACCTGTGTTCAAGATCCTTTTGGGGGAAGGGAGAGGGGAACGTGCACTGGCCATGTGTTACAACTGAGAGAAAATCTAACAGCCGTTTTTAAAGGCTCAACCCCAATCCCAGGTGCTGAAAAACCAGAGGCTGAGGGAGATGTGTGAGCTTCCACCTCAGTGTTTTACTGAGACCAGTGTTGGCGCAGATGAGGCACACGGAATCCAGCTCCATTCCCTAGAAGCCATCCACAAGGTTTTCCTTGTAGACATCATCGCTGTAGACAATCTGGGTCCTCTTGTCCCGGTGGCAACCCTTAGGGCTGTTCTGGACAGCTGGGGAAGGAGGAAAGGATTGGCTGAGTTCTGAAGCACTGCGTCTGAGCACTACTGAGGCCAGAGACTCTTCCAGCTCCCTCCTGGCCTCTGGCCCTTGGAAGCCCAATTTCAATGCTGCCCTCTGGTGGCCAGGATGGCCTGGCTCCCTTCAGCCCCCTCAGGGCTACCGACCCAGCCCTGAAGCAAGGAGCCTATGCTGTTACTGCGGCCCATGCAGATACCGTAACGGATATTTGGTTCTTAGAATCATCCCAGATATTATTGTTGAGACAACTGAATGATGTTAACCCACTAGAAAATCTCCGTAGGCCTTTGTTGACATGCTAGTCATTTTCTTGTTCCTTCCTTTCGTCTGGAGGGCCGCTCTTGCTCTGAACACACCTTTCTGCCTACTCCTTTGCCAGGAAAACCAACAGGTATAGTGGGCTATTTGCACTAAACTAAGAAATGCTACTGGCCCCAGTGGGAGAACCATTCTGGGTGCAGCTTTGACCCAAAGTATTCTCCCTCAAGCCTCAAGCTGTTCCCTCCCCTTCTTTTTTCCTCCCTACGCTGACGTGTCCCTCTCTTCACCCCTTCTCCAAGGATTTCATCCCTGCCATTCTGGGGCTAGAGTGACTCACCCCAAACCAGCCTCCATTCTCTTGGATCTCTCTGCACCCTGACACCGCTGATCACTCCCCTGCTTCCAAAGCTTGGGTCCTTTGGCTTTAATGGCTGCTCCCTGAATATTCCCCATGCCAAGGCCTGGGTAATTCTTTTCCCCAAATTCAGTCTCCCGTGAGGATACTACCATTTTGCAGCCACTCTGTGATACAGGGGACTCTGATCCATGTTTTCATTCTTCACTTCACACCTAAATAAGTTCCAGATCTCTAATTTCAAATGCTTATTTTATAAAACCAACTACACTCCATCTCAAAATGAACAAAGCCATGTGAGATGCTCATCTTCTTCACCAACCTCCCTTACTTCTACTTTCTTCCCTATTCCAGTTACTGCTTTGGGAGTTGTTGTCTCAATCTTTTCCTCTCCATCTTCTCCCACCTCTAACTGACAGAAGGCCTGACAATTCTCATTCCCATTCCACGGCCTCCACACAGATCCAGGCCTCTATCACCTCTATGGGATCCTGGGACATGCAGGGGAACAAACAGAAGGGGTGAGCTGTGGGGAACGGGATGAAGGAGGAGGAATCCGTTCTTACCAAGGGAGCCCCAGACAGACTTGCCAGTGGCAGCATCCAGCATGGGCTGTTTGCGGGCAATGCTGACTTTGAGCTGTACGGACTCCACCTGGGTCCCGTTGAGCTGGGGCAGAAGAGGGGAGGAAGCAAAGGATGGGGGGACACACTGCAGACCAAGCAAAGGAGGAATTCCAACAGTTGCCACCCTAGAAATAGACTGAGTGAGGATCTGAGAATACGTTTCTCATGTGACTAGGAAGAGACTTTCTCTGTCAATAGGAAATGATTTTCTCCTGGCTCCCAGTATTTTAAAGAGAAAACATGAAGATAGCAGGAGGGATGGGAAGAACAGATCTGGGAAGTCCCAACCTCAGCGACGGCCTGATCTGCTGACTCCATCTTTTCATAGGTGACGAAGGCACAGCTGGGATGAGAGAAAACAGGGTCAGTAGGTGGCCTATGGGCTCTTGTGGACCCAACCAAACGCAGGCCTCACAGGCCGCTGGAGATAGGCCAGTGTTCTTCCCTCAAACCCAGGTCCTCCCAGGACTTATCATCTTGCCCCACAGTCATCCTTACTTTCTGGGTGGGTCCATGGAGAGGTCAATGATGTTTCCAAAGGGAGAGAAGGCCCCACGGAGGAGGGTGGGCGTCATGTCTTCTCCATATACATAGAGAGTATTCCCCTTCCGAGGGGCCCTGCGTTCAGGGAACGAATCCGACCCTGTGGGATCAGGAGTCACAGTCACAAGATGCAACCCGCCTCAGCCTCTGCTTTAAGAGGCCACTTTGGGAGGACTCGCCTAAACCCTTTCACTTCTCCCACCAGCCCAGATCACTTACTGCGGAAAGGGCCCTCTCGTTCTCGATCGCGGTCCCTGTCCCGATCGCGGTCCCTGTCCCGATCTCGGTCCCTGTCCCGATCGCGGTCCCTGTCCCGATCGCGGTCTCGATCCCGTTCCCGATCTCGGTCTCGATCCCGTTCCCGATCTCGGTCTCTGTCCCGGTTCCGCTCATGACTGTGGTCCCGGCTGCGGCTTCGGGGAGGGGAGGCTGAGGAGTGGGCACCACCACGTTCTTCATAGCCCCAGTCAAAGCTTCGAGGGGGACCATCACCAGCGCCTGGGCCCTCTGCCTCTTCCCCATCTGGCCCCAGTTCCCGAAGCCGATCACTGGAAGACACAAAACTGGAGAGAGGCAGACAGTGAGGATCAAACGGGGTCTTCACCTTAACTTCCCAGACCCTGTGGAGACTTAACACCCCCTCTGAAGCCCCAGTTCCTTCCACTCCAGCCCTAAACCTCCCAAGGATCCAGGCAATCAACCCTCCCCCACTCCCTCCAATTGGGATCCAGTCCTCTCTCTAGCTCTCTAACCTCTCATACAGAGATTTCCTCTGGGGGCGTCTGGACGACTGCAAAAGAAACCACGGACAGTTAAGATGAGTCCTAGTTGCTGGCATGTGGCCCCAAATATGTGGGTCTCTCATCTTCCTCATTCCCCAGGCCTCCAGGGACAGAGAACTGGGAACCATACCTCCTGCAGATCGTCATCGGCAGATATGCTCCTTTGGAACGGCTGGAAAGTGGGGACTGGCCCCTTCTCAGGGTCCTGGGAAGATTGTAGAGATCTACTTCAATGTGAGAGCAGGAGGCAGCCTAACCGTGTGATAAGTGGTTCCTCTTCCCTCACCCTCTTCTTGGTTTCTTCTGGCCTCTTTCTTCTCCTTTAATTCCTTTGTGCATTTCTTATTTGATTATGTATCTTTTGTAAATGACCTAACACACACTTAAGAGTATTTAGCTTATCTGTAGGTTTCTTGAACCCGCTGACATCTTCAACCTGTTCAACTCCTCAGAATGACAAAACCCAGGAGCTCAAATATGTGGTAGATTAAAGCCACAGAGCGTGTAAAATGGAGAACTGAGAAGTCAGCCAGTGTCTTCACTTTACAGATAAGACATCTGAAGTTCAGACCTGTATGACAATTTGCCCATGACTGAATAGATGTTATTTTTCCCCTAAATTTTACCTCCATTCCAACTTGGAAAGATGCCCTCCGAAGTCAAGGGTCCCCTGAACAATCTTTCTGTTTGTGCTCACCTTTAACTTCCCCTCTAGGGTTCGAGAACGTTTGAAGCCCGAGTTCTTGGTCTCGGCTTTGATGGCACTGATGGCTCCTGATTTCACCAGCTGCTTTGCCTGCTCTGTTGCGGTGGCTGTGTCCACCACAGGCTGCTCAGACAGGGCTGGAGTGGTGAGGGAAGGGGGCATCATGTGGCCAAGCTGTGGGAGATGTTGGCCCCACGGTGCCCACTCCAGCCTATCCCCATCTCCCCTGTCACTCACAGCGTTTCACACCGCCTTGGCTGGCTGTGCTGCTGCTACTTTGCTTCTTCAGAGCCAGCAATGCCTTTTTCTGGGAACGAGAGTGAGAAGAGAGGGATTGGTGAGGGCCGGTCCCTGGCCCGGTCTGCTCCCAAGGTCCCTGGGCACCTCACTCCAGGGGACACCTTTCTCAGAAAACAATCCAAATAGTGTCCCTGCAGTGGTACGCTGAGGCAGCCCTGCCTCTCACACATGGTCCACTGGATCATCTACAATACCAGCAATACTTAATCTAGCCAAACCACAGTATCCAAAGGCTTTCCAGAGTCTCAGGTTTTTGAAGTTGAAGACAAGGAATTCAACCATGGACCAGAGCCCCAAGATTTAAGCTGCAAGTAAGTACAAGCCTACGTGCCTTTCTCAGGGGCTTCATCCATCCATCCCCTGTATGTTTAACAAGGACACGCCATTACTTTGTAACAGAGGGATGCAAAAGTATGAGACAAAGTTCCTACCGTCGAGAAGCTTACAGCCTGAGAAACAAGATGATTAGAGATAATTATCAAGAATGATTATAAGAGGTGCAGACTGCTTGTAGCTGAAACCAAGTTAAGATTATCTGATGCCAAAATGGCTATTAAACTGGTCCCTGGGTAGAATCTACACAAAACAGATTGAAAGAAAAGGGCATTTTAGACAAAGAAAACAGGATGGCAGAGATGCAGAAATAAGAAGGCTTTGGGAATGCATGTTTTGGGACTAGTGAATAGTTCCATTTGACTAGAAAGGGATGCCAAGGTAAGGCTTTGTTCTATAAACAATGGAAAACCACTTACGGGTTTTGAGAAAAAGAGACAGTTTTGTGTTTTCAGTAGCTCATTTTAATAAGAATGAAGAAAGTCTGTCCAAAAAACCACTGAGAAATTTCTTGAGAAACCATTACAACAGTCTATGTGAGCGTCAGCAAAAACTTGATCTATGATATACAGACGAAAAAGTAAATTACTTCCAAGGAAGAATCAAGAAGACTTGGAAATGTTTGGCTATGCAAAATGTGGAGAAGTCAGAGATGAGATTTTGATTCCAAACACCTGGGAGAACTGGCTGTGTTCACTCCTATTTGGAAGATTAAGAAAAGGAACTAATTTAGGATAGGAAGATGACAGCTGCAACACTGGGTACCTAAGGGCTATCAGTAACAGACTGGATAGAACTGACAAAACAAACTTGGAGACTACCACCTCTTTGGTGGTACTAAAAGCCACGGATAAGGAAGACAACTCCACTGCAGAATGCACAGAAGAGAAGGCACACACCAAGACTCGGGAAAAGCCCAGCTACAAGGCTACGCTGAGAGGAGATATGTCTCCAGGTATGAGCTGGAAGAACCCCCCCATCCCCTCACACTCACCCCAGGTGTTCTCAAGAGTGTAGAGTCTGTGAAAGGTTGGGCCACGCCCCCACACACTCCCTCACCTTTTTCTTGAGTTTGTTGAATTTCTTCTGCAGAGCCTCCTCCTCCTCGCTCAGTCCGGGGGGTATCACCAACATGGTGGCTCCTGGTTCAGGGGCAGGGCCCAAGACATCTTTCTCCACTGTCACCGCCCAGGGTTCACACGCCGTCCACACTGTACCCAACCGCACCCCTCCAGGCCTACCTACTCCTGTCTTTTGCCTCTCCCTATCCCTTGCTTAAACCAGGCTGCCGTCCAAGCCCCCGCTCGTCGGGATCAGCATTCCCTCTTCTCTCCAGCATTCCCTCTTCTCTCCAGCAACCACGGCCACCAGCGCTTTGAGGAACCAAGTGGCCCGGGAAGGGGGAAGCACCCCTTCCGTCGCCAAGACGATGGCATCAGACACCCCCTACCCCCGCTAGGGGTATGGCAACCGCGGGGTCCAAACGGCACAGGAGGCAGTGGAACCCACGCAGCGCTCTCAGAGCAACGAAAAGGGGAAGAAGAGAAGAAGCTCGGAAAAAAGGGGCGAAGGGTGAGAAGGAGACCTTACCTGAGGGGGCGGTAACCGGGGTCCCACGGTCTCGGGCGGCGCCCGCGCGGGCAGCGGAGAGCGGGCTCAGAGCGATGACGTAGCGAGGGGCGGAGAACGCGGTAACCAAGGCGGCCCAGGGCTAGACACTTCCGCCCGGCCGTCCCCTCCAGGCTCAGGTCGGCCTCTCAGTAGCGCTCGTCTTCGTCCCCGGCGGGGGTGTGTGACGGAAGTCGCCTCCACTTCCGCCCGCTCCGGGGCGGGGCTCACTCCACGGCTTCTCGCCGCACTTCCGGTCTGCCCGGTCGTCGCGGTGGCTCCCAGATGATGGAGACCGAGCGACTCGGTGAGGGGGAGGGGGTGGAACGAAGGAGTAGTCCGGGGGTGACCCTTAACCTCTGACCTCTGACCTTCCCCCTGTAGTGCTGCCTCCTCCAGATCCCCTGGATCTGCCCCTTCGGCCGGTGGAGCTGGGATGCACAGGGCGCTGGGAGCTGCTGAATGTGCCTGGGGCTCCAGAGAGCACCGTGAGTGACTTTTGACCCTAACATTGAACTTCAAACCCCCTCCACCACCCTCCTTACTGTTGGACCCTAGCGTAACCTCATTCTTCTGTCTCTGGACTCCTGTCATCTGGGCCTGCCTTGTGCTGGACAGACCCCAGCCCAGTGGACCGGCTGTGGGTCAGAGCTCATGTGAAGACAGAGCAGGGAGTGCTGGGGATACCTGAGCGCTGAGAATTACTCTTTCTAATGTGTCTTTTCTCTTTGGAGTCACCTTGGGTCTCCAAGCACCAAAGCGCTTGTTGACGGCTAGCCTTTGAGGCCCTGACTCATCCTTAGTTTGGGGCCCCCTTTTCCTAAAAGTAGTGATTCTCAAATTTAAGTGTACCTTGTAATTAGTGGCGGGGACTTTTTTTTTTTTA